AAGTTCAGGTCCCGTAGCCTCTCCTCGTAGGGCCTGCCCTGCTGCCCCCTGATCATGCGAGTGGCCCTCCTCTGGACCCTCTCTATGTTGTCCACATCCCTCTTGAAGTGCGGCGCCCAGAACTGGACGCAGTACTCCAGCTGCGGCCTGACCAGTGCCACATAGAGGGGGAGGATCACCTCCTTGGACCTGCTCGAGATGCATGACAAGGTGTGGTTGGCCTTCCTGACTGCTTTCCAACACTACCCACCCATGTTCATCTTGGAGTCAATGATAACTCCAAGATCCTTTTCTGCCTCTGTACTGACAAGAGGGGAGTTCCCCAGGCTGTAGGTATGGTGCCAGTTGTTCCTCCCCAGGTGCATCACTTTGCACTTGTCAGTGTTGAATCCCATCCTGTTCTCATCCGCCCAGCCTTGTAACCTGCCTAGGTTACCTTTGGTAAGGTACTTGTTATATTTTTAGTTTGGGTAAAAACAAACTGTCCACAAGCCCTCCCAGGGGGGAAAAGAAACAAGTGCTAATCTTTCTGCTCATGCTCATTCTCCATAGCTATAGCAAACTTTGTTTTCCCAAGGGGGCAGCGAATGCCAGAAATTTGTTAAGTAGATAGCAAAGGGCCAAAAAGAAGGCTTAAAGCTGTAGGTTATACCCTAGAAGTACACTGAAAATGTTATAAGAAACAAGTGATTTTGTAAAAAGATCATTCTATTTCAGGAACCTATGGCTAACTCTGCCCCAAACTCCAGGAAGCACAGCTTCAGGATAATCCAACATTGTGGATTGCAGAGCACTTGAAAAAGCTGCCTTTTAAACATTCAGCAAAACTTAACATTTATTATAGTGAAGGTACCACCCCACTATAATTACAAACAGTTCGGTCTCATTAGTCATCACGGAACCCAATATTTTACTCTTAACTGCATGCTCATCAGGCTAACTCTGACCTTCTTCGTTGTCATACTCAAGCCATACAAATGGCATATATTTTGCAAATTCATCACTAGAAAGACAACTTATTTTCATTAACAGCTTGATTCAAAGTCAGTTGAAATGGATGAAGAAACTCCCACTGACTTCAGTAAGATTTGAATCAGGCCCTACAATTTCACACATTACCAGTTATGGCTCGGTTATTAAATCCCAAACTAGCCCATGTGTATAAATCTTATAAGCCCAAATCATGAAATTATAATGCCAACATGAAAAAAAATACAATGACAGCTGTTACCACAGGGTTTCAACATTAGAGACTCCTATTTATTTAATTAAATAAAAAAAGTGCATTAAGTCCCTTATGTTCCACAAGTGGCTCCTAATTTTGACTGCCTGGATCTGGATCCAGATCAGCTCGCTGAATAAAACATTTCAAAATTTCAACAACATTGAGAAAAAAAATTGTTATTTTCCACTGAGCTCATAAAACAGTGATTTTTTTTTTTAAATTTAACATTCCAACACAAAATGTAGACCTGGATTAAAAAATTCCAGCAAAAAACTTTTCTGCGTTGTTTTCAAAATGTTCAATACCTTAATTTTCTTGAAAAACGAGATAAACAGGAAGTAATGTCAAGCTGTAGTTCCCACACATTTTTTTTTACTGTCCATTGCCTCAGCTACACAGCTGAGTAGGTACAGAATCTCAGCCCCACTTGCTGTCAGACCCCAGAGCCTGTTAACTGCATTACATGTTGAGGTAGAATGGCTTGCTGCCCATTGTACAGGGGTTTGGCAAAGGAAACTTCAACAGTGGAGAGAAGAGGAACAGCACCTGGAATAGTGATATGGCTAGTGCTGGGTTGTGGGGCAAGAGTTTCAGGGAGGTGGGCAACTGAGTAATGTAACCCCGCAGAAAGAGCATCACCTTCTGGAGCAGCCAGAGAATCTCAAAGTCATTAGTGTAACTAAGAGGGTGGGTAAGGCATGAGTCCCAAGTGCTGATTTAGATGGTGTGCCAGAATGGTGGCTCATAGGGAGTACGTGTTGGGTACTGGGACACTGCACCACACCAGCAGTACTTGGATCTTTGAGACCTCAGTGCAAATAAGACTGAAACCTCTCCTCTCCAGTTCTCCAGCAGGGTTTAATGCAAGGTGCCAACCTTCCTACACTCCCCTCATCTGGAATGGCATCAGATTTTGCAGAATCATTAATGGGTAGGATGTGGAATTTCCTTCAGTTCAGGTAACAACAGAGCCTTTTTCATGTTCCCCATGACAGTATCTGAGCTTTTCCCTCCCTAATCCTCAAATTAATACTCAAACTACTAGACTTAAGAGCAGACAAGGTAATCTTTGGTTAGATTTGATATCTTTTATTAGATCAACTAAACAGTGGGAAAATTTGTTCTTTGCAAGCTTTTGGGCACAAGCACCCTGCTTCAGGGAAAGTATGCCTGAAGAAGGGTGTTTGTGCCCAAAAGCTTTCAAAGAACAATTTTGCCAACTATTCAGTTGGCCTAATAAAAGATATCACATCTAACCAAAGAACTTTGTCTGCATATGTCCTTAGACTTAAGCGGGGGCAGTCTTTAAATGACTTTGATGGCTTATCTTAAAATGTAGCACAACAAATAGTAGCAAAGTGAAGGAGCAAAAAGAAGTAGTAACAAAAAAACATACACAAAAGGTAAAAACAAACATGTAAATAAGGCCACAGCATAATGCATAGTCAAATATGAAAAATGAATAATTGCACCATTTATATAAACATCTCCATGTTTCTGGTTATTCAGCTTTAAGGAATCTAAAAAGCTAGTTTTTTTTGTAGTATGCATTTCAGCACTACACAATCTGCACAAGAACAAGGACGACTGATGACACTTCGCATCCTCATGAAAACAATATAATGCTGGGAATGTGGTAACGTCATAGACAGTGATTACATCTACATGATTAGATCCACAGTAAAGTCTTTGTGTCTACATGTACAGCCCTATTAGGCTGTAGGAAACAAATTAACTCCACCACAGGTTAGCACTTGTAAATACAAGTATTATACAGCAGCAGTGTTCTTTAGTGCACAGCAACACACGTATAGATGCTGATGGGGCTGGCTGGGACAAAGCTGCCTGCCAGCTAGGCCCAACCTGGAGCACCCTCGTGCCCCAGCCAGCCCCTCTGCAGTATGTTGAGCTGGGTCAGAGCAGCCCGAGCTGGCAAGCTGACTCCCTGCCAGCTGGAGCTGCTCTGACCTAGCTCATCATGCTGCAGTCCTGGGCACACATGAAAATGTGACATGCAGGAACAGTAAACTCAGAGGCAAACTGTGCTGGAATTTACTGCATCACATT